GCGTCGACCGCAGCACCGGCGCTCTATGTCAGTCACCCGCTGGAATCCCCACCCTCCGCCTCCACTCACAGCAGCAGGGCATTCACACTCCCGGGCTTGTCTCAGGGTCGCCCGCCATACTGCCTACGTTCTTACTATCGCCCCAGCCTCTGCACTGCACACTACCGTTCACCAGCATTTTCGCCCATCGCGCCTTCCTCTATGGCGTCGCTGTCTATTCCCGTCACACGACGTCGCAGTCAGGGTCACTGCCTGAGCGAGGCGCCCAACACAGCGTACAGTATCTGATCTCCCTCTTACAGCGTCCGAGCCTGACAGTGCTACAGTCCATCGTCCTCAGAAGCATACCTAGCCATGTGCGCGCCCTGAGTACCGCCATCACCATGGTCACCCCTCGGAACTTCCCTCCCCCGAACATCCAGTGGCCGCTCCTTCACCCTGAGGGAACACGGGCTACCTTGAAAACACACATGGATATGCGAAAGAACCATACAGGCGAAGCGACACACGATAGCGGTTATCCCTTTCGGCCAGCTCCACAACTGCGCCGCATCCACTGGCATCCACTGGCATCCACTCTCGAGGCCTGCCGAGCCAAGACCACAAGCACCGTGGAACATCACACGCCGAGGCACAGCGCACATTTGGCAATATTATCTGGATTTTGTTCTGGGCTGCCTACCCGAGCAGCATACTCATACAGCAAAAGGATACTCGCATGTCCTCCATTTTCAGTCGAACCTCCACGCCAAGTGCCACTTGGGGCTTACAGCCCATGCCTTTGACCAAAGGGACCTAAAAAGACAAACCTCGTCACTCGTAATCCGTTGTCGGCATTGGTACCATGATCATGGCACCTCTAGGGTGTGGTCGGTGTGCAAGAGAATACTATACAATCGATGTGGGTTGTTGTGTATGGGTTTGGTGGTGAGTTGACGCCCTCCGACTTGAGCAAGCACTGACATTGCCTCAGTTCTCCCTGCCATCAGACGCCCACGTTCCATCATGTCAAGAAGAAGAAGAGATTGGACCAATCATCGAATCAGGGCGTCACACGAGAACAGCAGGGCTTATTGACGGAAGATCACTCCTCCTCGCTCTCGGAGCCGCTATCGTCATCATCGCTGGATGCATCATGCACTGCAGAGGTTAGTGGGTGATTGAAACGTGCACGTACTGACGACTCACCAGGTGGAGACTGGCTGGATCCCGACGCACCGCCTTGGAACGACTGCAGCTTCTCCTGGATCTTGCGCATGTTGTCTTCTTGCTCGCTCTTGCCCATGGGCTTGTTCTTCTTCGGTCGGGCCGCCGCCTGCTTCGAGACCTGCCTCGGCGGTTCAAAGTCATCATCGACCACGGCACCTCCCTTAGAGCTACGCAGAGACTTGATAAACCTCAACAACTCGCGGAGAGTATCATCGTTGATCTCGTCCATATCGAGCTCCATCTCGTCATCGTTCACGGTAGCAAGGTGCGGGCAGCCGTTTCTGATTATCTGGACCGCCTTACGCATATCGAGATCGCCGAGCGTACTGATACCCTCTGAAATCTCCTGCTTCTGGGCGAAACTCAGAGGCGCAGGAGCCTTTGCCTTCTTGACCGGAGCAGTCTTGATGGGCTTGGCAGGAGGTGGCACCGCAAGGGGAAGACTCTTCCTCTTTGCTGGTGGCGCCACAGCCTTCTTCTTCTTGCCAGGCAACTTGGGGGAAGTACGCTTGCCACCCGTCTGTTGTTGCAGAAGTTGTTGCGCTGTGGCGTTTAGTTGAGCAATCTGCTGTTGGATTGCAAGGAACTGCGCCTGAGCAGGGTCTATCTCCTCCTCCTCTTCGTCTTCCTCATCTTCCTCGTCGGAATAGAGGTCGCTTGGCGAGTGTTCAGGAGCAGGCGCATGCTGAGCAAGCCAGTCCGCCTTCTCCTTCCACAAGCTCTCGAAGAGATCTTCCATCTTGTGTCCCATCTGGTTGACAGCATCACCTTCAGGATTAAACTTGTAGCAGTTGTGGAAAACCAATTGCGCGTCCGCGTAGAAGTCCTTGGCACTCTGGTAGACACCGTTCTTCAGGTTCTTCTCGATCGTTCCAAAGTCCATCGGCTTCTTGATGATCTTGAGATAGGACGGGATGTTGAGTGCCACGGGATCTACGGGAGCGATGAATGGGTAAGTGACCGCACTGTACTTTGGCTTCATGAGCTCGGTAAGGACAGACTCGCAGAACTTGAGTTCTTGTTGGAACTTCTTCCGCCTCGGCTTTGCGTTGGTGTACGGCAAATCCTTCGACGGCCTGTGAATCTCTCGCTTTGGCCTACCGTCAGTGGTGGACGAATCACGTCGAATCAGTGGAGTACCGTCCTGCTGAAGAGGCCAGGCAGCCTGAGGCGAAGTCGCAGCCGGAGTAGCGACAGCAGGAGACTTGACGTTGGGCGGCGCAACGCGAGACTCACGTCGAGCCTTTTGCGAAGTGCTCACTGATGGCTTCTTGGCCTTTGCTGGCTTTGGAGGCTCTTCCGCAGCAGCGCCTCGGGGCATCTTACCCATGCCTTTCAAGAAGTAGGCGCGAAGGTTGTAACCTGCTTGCGTTACAGGATGCTCCTTGTTGTTGAAAAGCTCGCTGTTCGTGATCATCTGATCGAGATCTGCCATGAAATCCCTTACGTAAGTGTACTTTTTGTCCTTCAGCTTGTGCTCCATAGTCGTCAAGTCCATTGGGTTCTTGACAATGTCGGGATAAGTCGGGATATTGAGGGCTACAGGGTCAACAGGATCCTTGAACGCTAATGAAACCTTGATCTTCTTCGTGTTCCTTATCCGCTCAAGAAGAAACCTGTTCTGTGCATCCGTCATCGGAGTGGTGGGCCACTCTTCCCAATCAACAGCCTTGTGGACGCCAGATGCTTCTTGCGCAGAGTCGGATGTCGGGCCCGGGGTACCTCCATTTACGCTGGCCTGTTCTGCCTGATTCGGCAACTCCGGCAGCTTGAAGTCGGCTTGGGCCTCCTCTTCAGTCTTGGTGCGCTTCGCGTCGGGAATGTCGTCATCGTCATCCTCGCGGGGGCGCACCTTGCCAGAGGACGGGGCATCCTCCATTTCCCGGTCTACGATCGCCGGTGATTGAGCGGCAACGGATTGGGGTGCAGTGGCCGCATCGCCATCGGTCTTGATCGTGAGGTCGTGCATTGGCTTGGTAGGCGCTCCGGAGGACTCTGAGGGTTTCGACTCTTCAGGCGCATCAGCGGTGGTGTCCATACTATCTTCGGTCGGGCCTTCGTCTTTGTCGGCTAACTGGGTTTCGGGCACTTCCTGAGTGCTAGCGCCTGTTGCCTGGGTGGCTGAAGAGAGCTCCTCTGCAGTCGCTGGCTCATCGCGTACGTCTGAAGTCGGCGCCTCGACAGCGTTCGCTACCGTGGCACCAACATCCGAGTCGCCGAACAGCGAATTATTATCCTGGTTCTCAGGTAGGTATTGTGCGACACCATCGATTCCGGCGGATACGTTGGTGGTGGGCTCAACTGCAGGCGCTGACTCGTCCATGTCTACGTGATTTCCGTTGGTAGTGGGCTTTGATTGCGCGGTTGTATCGTCGATGGTGGTGGTCTTGGAGTCGGGTTCGTCGAAGAGTACATCGTGAACACTACTAGGTATTAGTAGGTTGCGCGAGGTGAGAGAGGAGGGGCGAATGAAGGTGAAGGGAAGAGCGACTTACCCGTTTGCCTCGGTATCCACTGCCATTGCGTCTGCCGGCGCAAAAGCGCTCGCCTTAAGGTCCAGGGAGGATTTGTCGACAGTAGGTGATGTCATTACTGCCATGGGGCCATGAAAGTCAAAGACGGGTTTGCGCGCGGCTGACAGAGTATATGGTGTGTTTGATGTTGTTGCTAATCTTGGATCGTTAGCGACTTCCGCTTTAGGCACACGCGACTGCGCAAGTATACGCGTGTTAATGACGGACACGGCAGTGAGGGAGGGATGGGCGCGTTTGCGGTAAAGGTGGGGTCGCAAAGTGAGGCTAGCGTCGGTGCAGTGACGCGAGGGATGAGGAGGGGCAGCTGCGGACTATATGTTGCAGAGGCTGAAACGCACGTGACTACGTACCAGACGGTGGCGGCGGCGAGGTAGCAGGGCGGCGACGGCAGTCGGTGATGAGTCAGACTTTATAGCGCCGACGCGTTTGTTGTGGTGGGCCAAGCGCGTAGAGGAAGAGGCAATAACGGCGTGGTGCAGCTGTGCGCCCTCTCAAGATGTGCGACAACAACACAAACGTTGGTGATGTGGTGCACGGATGGTGACGGCGGCTTGGGAGCGCAGACGGCGGGCGGTGAGGGCTAGTGTGCAGCGGATGCGGATGCAGACAGACGGGGATGGATGCGCGTATTAATTATGTCGGGTGAAGTGGGTGCAGCCGCCTAGACTTGGGACGCGATATACTGGGCCTTGGGCGGGTGATGAGGTGTGGCGGGGGAGTGCGAGTAAGGTTGGGTGATCGGGAGCAGGCGCGTATTGATTGGAGGCAGATCAGGAAAATGGACTCAAGAACGTCGAAGACAGACGCGAGAGGAGAGGCATTGGGGTTAAGTAGCCCGGCCCTTCCATCTCCGAGCCAAGCCTCAGAGCAGCCCCTGAAGTGCACTAGCCTCGAAGGGAACGTGTCCTTGCCGACTTCTTGACTATGCGCGTCCGCAACGCCGCGTCTGGACATTGTTTACCTGTTCTGTTGCATTCTTGAGATGCACTTGGACTATCACGCTTCCTTGCCGATGAATCTGCTGTTGCAACGGGCGCCGTGAACGCGTCGCCGCGAGCTTGACAGCTCTACGCCATGATCCCTGTCCGCAAGGCCCGTGCGTGCAGAGGTGGGTAATTCGCTCTTCCCAAATTTTTTGCGACCACTCGCATCTTGCGCATTGCTTCAGGCTGCAACATTACAGCCTTGTACAAACTTCCGGTGAAGCCTTCGACACGCGCCGCCTGCGATATATCGACACAACCGGTGTTCACGAAAATGCCCGCCGCCGTAGCAACCCCGAAGAATCGCGACCGCCGGCCTGCGAAAAAACCCAAGTTGGCGCAATCGCCTGCGACAGTCCGCCAAAATGGTCTCAAAGCTTTAGTAAATGGAAATGCAGCCAAGCCCACAGCGAAGATAAACGGTGTCAAGAATGCGCAGGCAGACCGAGTCGACGACGCCACTGCTGTTGTGGAAGGACCTGCCGATGCGCACATGGTGGACGCGGACGTCATAGAGATCAGCAGCGCCGAGGAAGAGAGCGATGACGACTCGGACAGCGCGCAAGAAGATCCCACACAGACCAATGCTGAGAACGACGCTGCTGCGGATGACGAGAATGGCGCGGAACCGGAGGAGCTCACATTCGGGGACCGATTACGCGCAGAAGGCCCTGAGCCTGTCCAAGAGTCGCGAATTATAAGCGTCGAAGACGCCTTCGACCCCAACCCGGAGCGCGCAGTAACTGCGACAAAGAACCGCACACTTGCACCACCGAATGCAAACTCTCTCGGCACCGTTCTCACTCAAGCCCTGCGCACCAACGACAAGGAGCTCCTCGATTCATGTCTTCAGGTGGTCGATGTAGAGTCGGTCTACGCTACCGTCGAACGGTTGCCATCGCCGTTGGTTGGAACACTACTGCAGAGATTGGCTGAGAGGCTACACCGAAGTCCCGGTCGAGCAGGCATGTTGATGGCCTGGGTACAATGGAGTCTTGCCGTAAGCAGCCCGCCTCCGAATGGAAAAAGCATCGACTAACACTTACCTGATAGGCCCACGGAGGATACCTCGCTTCCCAGCCCCAAATCGTCAAGCAACTCACCGCACTGAACAAAGTTTTGAAGGAACGCTCGAGCGGGCTGATGCCGCTCATGTCATTGAAGGGTCGTCTGGATATGCTACAAGCTCAGCTTGACCTCAGGAAACGGAACCAAGCCGCCAACGACGATGCGGACGAAGCACTGGTATACGTCGAGGGACAGGACGATTACGTCTCTGATGACGAGTCGATTGAGGGAGCCACTGCAACCCCGAAGCGATCGCGCCCCGAGATGGAGGAGGACGATGAAAGCTCGTCGGACGATATGGGCCTGAACATGGAGATGGATGACGTCTCCGACGAGGGTAGTGAAGGTTCTGACGAGGACCTCATCGACGATGAGGCAGAAGAGACGGATGATGACGAGGGCGGAGACATGTCAGAGCCTATGAGCGATGACTTGGACGACGGTGAATCGGAGAGCGGAGACGAATCGAAACCGGAGCGACGATCAACAGCTGCTCGGGCTGGACTCAAAAGCCGGCGCTGAGTGTTGAAGAGGAAGTTCGTAATTCTTGTACAGTCTACGACGGCCCGCGAACCACACTACTTGGCGCGTCCGATCATCCAAAATTGGGATTCACGCATAGGCGTTCATCTCTGGTGGCGTTAATACCTTACTTACGGCAATCTACACGAGGTTTAGATTTCTTCTACGTACCGCATCCCGGGAGTATCCCACACATGACCAATGGAAGATTATTACAGCTAATCAGGCTGTTTGTCGGTCTGAGACATGTCTTTCCCCTGTGGTCAGTTGGGAATATTCATAGTCTAATCTCATCTAGTCTGCACAATGTATTGCCATCTCAACACACAACGTTTTCATCGCCGATTGCATGACAGCACTCTTGTTTTTTCACAGTCCAAATGCCGATCCGATATACCAAGAACACGCGTACACACGCCAAAGTCTTCAGATCCAACGACCAATCGTCTGAGCCAGGACGACATCAACACCTCACACGCAGGCCAACCGAGGAACCCTATACTCATTTCCATTCTACCCATCCACAGTCCAAACTCCGGTCGGACAAAGTTCATGCTACTATATTAGATCGTAACGGCAATTCTATAAATCGCGACAGCCCTTTTCCAATCCTACGCCGCACAGCTTCAGGGCGTCTCTTCCAGTTTGGTACTTCGACAGTCCACGGACGTGTTAGTAACACATATTAGAGCTCTCCCCAGTATATCTTATCAACACGAACAACATAACAACGAGTGCATAGGTACGACGTAACGGAACTGACTTCACTATACCGAAATATCAACAGAGAGAAGAAAAGCGGACCATGGATCGCATTGCTAAAGCCCAGCGCCAATACGAAATTTACAAGAAAGAAGCATGCGACGTCCGCCATGTGACTTCTTGTCACAATCTCAATGCCCACTATAAGCGCGATGGAGGCGAGGACTTAGGGCATTATTGTAAGATAGACGAGTCTAAGCGGTACGATTTGAACGACTATCGTCGGACTGACCGTCTAGTACTCAGCGGTCTGAAACACACAAAGTTGAGGAAGGATCCTGATCTGCGGGAGTGGCTTATTCCAGCTACTTCCTCGGACAGCTCATCGGAGGGGACGGATGAGGACAACATGACTGACATGTCAGATGAGGATATCTGGTCGCAGGCCGGAAAGGATGAAGGAGAAGAAGGCTCCAAATGAGGATATTTGGGAGTGAGACGCTGACCTCTGGTATTGTTTGAAGAGAACATTTTCTTTCTGTTCTCGCACCCCTCTACGCTGCATTTTCTCTACCACAGTCTTGTTTCTCCATGTTAATCGCGACGATCTTGATTGCTCATCAATCCTCCTTCGACCACCATCTAGCATGTATTCGATATTTCACCATTCTTCCTCCATCAAACATGTACCTTTACAGTGCTGTTGCCCAAACACATCGGCCCTGCCTTTTCTCCGCACTTTGAGAGGAAGTTTCCGGTGAGCTGCTCTCAACCGGATTGAGACATATCGCCTGTGACTAACATGCCATCTCACCCTTGGGGCTCGATGAGTGCCAGACAACGCAAGTATGAAATTGAGAGGATGGAAGCTTGCGACGTTCCACACAAATCGCGTGACAGAGATCTTCGGGCTACTTTCCGAGCAGACCAAAGTGAGAACGCCGCTGAGCCGACGGTGAATTCTGCTATATCTCCTGGGTCTGGCATTTCAAATGCACGATCGTCATCTCCTGCAACAATCCCTTCCGCGGCAGTCGGTCGGTCGTCTCGTCGTCACGGAATAGTCGGCATTGAGCAACTGTACGATAGGGAACATCTTCACCCAGCGCCTTTCCCGTCTCCAAGGTATACCAAGCCAGCACCAACAGACAGGTTTTCTAAGCACATCGTCGCCTGCCCACCATTCTCGACAAAAGAACAGTGGGAGGAAATCCGTGCAGAAGTTCCGATGAGATTCGCAAATGCTGAAACGCTACCGCCAGCTCCAACGTCTGTTCCTCCAACAGCTCTCGTACAACAAGAGACACTTAGCATCTCACACGAAGCCCTGATAGATGAGGCTCCTGAGATCAATCGCAGCAATCGAAGTTCCTATAGCTCACACGTTCAGTCAATACAAATGCGTCGCAGCCAGGTTTACCAACATGAGTATAGGCAAGGTTCCACTCGAACTGACTCTGTTACCGACTCCGACAACGGCGAAGCGCACAAGAGACGAGAGCGCAAGTACACCGTAGTCAACCAAACTACCAGCACACGCTCTGTTCTAAGCGACTGCGACACAGATACAGAAAGCCCTACCACAGAGTCACCCGATAGACCAGCACCTGGTCACATTGCTCTTGGACAAAGCGATGGACCACGCTCCGTTTTAAGCGATTGCATCACAGACACAGATAGCAATACTACGGAAAAGCGGAACAGGAGAGGAGCTATAAGTGTCGCCTTCGGGCGAAACGATCAGCCACGACTTGTTCTAAGCGATTGCGACACCGAGAGCAAAGCAGGTAGCGATACCACGGAAGTACCTGACAGATGGGGGCTAGAACATACCACTCCGTGGGAAATCAACACACCACGATCTCCTCCAGGCAATCACGCTACTGATGTAGCTACCACACGAGCGCTTAACTTGGGCAACAAGGTACCAATCAACAGCCGTCTTCTTCTCAAGAAAAGTTCCAAAGATCTCAGAAAGAGTACCCATCACTTGTCGACATGGAATGAGACCAAAATCCTACCTGAAATCACAGCATCAGGCCGGCATGGACTGCGCAAAGCCAAGTCGTGGTTTGCAGAGAAGATACAGGGTCGTAACGAGCCGCCTCTCAGTGCCGAAGAAGCAGCGAAGAAGGAGGAGGAAGCCAAGAAAGCGGCAGCAGCAAAAAAATGGGCTAAAGAACGGATGGCGTTTGAAAGAGCACAGGCTGCTATTGCACGAGCAACATTTGTTCTTGATGAAGCTGCTACCGATGCAGCGTTGAGGCAAATGGGTCCTGGAGCGATCCCTGGGTGCTGCGACCCGGAGTGTAAACTTGCTTGCTGCCGGAAGGGGAAATGATGGTGAGCGGGGGGGTATCTCGATGTTGGGTTAGTTATTTACGTACGTCTGGAGCAGATATGGTCTTCCCGAAAGCCGGAAAGAATGACTATCTAGTCGAAGTGTTTATCTACACTGTTCCACGATATATAATCACCACTGTTCGCCCAGCTTACCATCATCACTTCTTTGTCCCCATACCAAATGTCATCACCGCTGTTATGTCTTTGTTCCGTCCACTCCCACACAGCCACAATGTCCTTGTCCACTAACCAGTGCATCTCCAACGCTCAGCCCTTTACTTCTGTGATAAGCCTACTATGAAAGCCTTCAGCGAGAATGCAAGTCTCGCTGTTCTGTTACGCAGCCCTCTTCGCCTACCGCTTCGCATCTCTCCGTTGGAACTCGATCACGAGAAGATCCACGACCACGTACATGACCCGCCGCATCCCTGCCCTCAAACCAGCGCGAAAGACGCGGATCATGCCCCGACGAAACCCCAATATGACAATCACCACGAATGCAGTCGTCAAGCAAACGTTCCTGCTGAGCCCAACACCTACAACAACAACCTTCCACGCGAGTGGTAATACTCTCCCTGTATTCCCCGGCGCTCAAACATTCCTCCTCAGCCCGACGGTAACGCTTAGTCCAACATCTTTCCGTACTGACTCGCCTGTGCTGCCACCTTCCCCACCATCTCCTGCACTCACTCTTTTTCACGCTAATCACGTTCTCCGTACTTCAAGGTCTACGGAGGATCTGCCTGCGTATCCAATACCTCGCACTTGCTACAATTGTAGTATCAGCTCTCTTGATTTGTCCGATAGTTCATCTGGTGGTGTGAACATATCTGGTGTACGGGTAGCTGGAGATGAAGGCTGGGGGTCACAGACTACGCGGATGAGCGATATTCTGCCTGATGACTTGGACCTTTATGGTGAAGATGAACAAGAAGAGAAAGAAGAAGAAAGCTTAGATGCGAGACCAATGAGTATTGCGCTTACTGATGCGGCTCAAGATGCTGTCCGTGAACAAGATGAGAAGATTCAACACGTGGATAGAACGGAGCAGACAGGACGGTCAGCGGCTGAAGTAGAGCGGGAGACGAAAGCCCTGGAATTGGGACCAGAGGTTCAGGGTTCGTTGCCGGTTATTGGGGAGGGCGATTACCCTTACTATCCGCTGCCCTCGCCTCGTCCACAGCCAAGGGTAAAGAGAGATGTTCAGTGGGTGGTTCCATTGAAGGGCGGAGGTGTAGCGAAGAGGAGTAGCAGTGACAGCGCTGGTTGCGGTAACCCTATCAGAATTCTTCTGAGAAGACTCTTCCGGAGAAGGGGGTAAAGTAGTGATTTCTAGTCAGTCAATAGATGTGCCAGACATAAACTCCATGAGAACGTCTCCTCCATTGCGATCTCCTTACTGTCAGCGAAAACTCTTCACTCTGTCACTAGAGATATCTATCACGAATCACCAGAACATCACCAACAGCAGAGCCATATTCATAAAAAGCCACAACCGGGCTCAAACATCAATTCAAAAAGGTACTAAGGAAAGAACGCAACCCTTTGGGTATCGCAACAGCAGCAATCTCTCTTCCATCCCCTTCTCCATCCATCTCAAACCACCACGCCTATTACTCAATCTACAAGAAGAAAGCAGCAACGGCACCGACACCGGCGAGCGCACCACCGACCTTGAGGCCGGAAGCGGCACCAGTGAACTCAGAGGGAGGAGGACCGGTCATGCTGCCAGTGGGGGCGGCAGTGCCGGTAGGCATGGCGTATCCGGTGCCGACGGAGGACGCATCGGGGACCATGGGGACGCCGGTGCCGCCCATGACGGGGGCGGAGGAGGGGGCCATGGGGGCGGTGGTGGGGTAGTAGGCGGAGCTCATGGAGGGAGCGACGGGGGTGTGCTGCATAGTCCTGGGCATGTTCATTAGTACGAAAGTCGATAATGAATGGAAAGAGGAAAAACGTACTCGGTGACAGTGACAGTGACGGCAGCAGAGCAGGACTCCTCAGCAGCGGGAGCACCGTACTGAGCAGCAGCAACAGCGACGAGGGAAGCGGCGACGACGGAGAAACGCATCTTGAATGTTGATAGAAGTTGGGAGAAGGTAAATTGGGTATAAGGCGTTAGGAGACGTAAAGTCGAGTCGTTGAGTGATTGGTGGTAGTAAAGACTGTGTGAGTTTGACTTGGCTTGCAAGAAAAAAATGAGTGGCTAATAGAACACTAGGTACTATAGATTATGTTTGGATCGTAGGATGATGAGAGAAGAAGAGTAGTAGGAGGGATATGAGGCGGTCCAATGGGTCTTATACAGCCCTCTTATTAGTAGTCATATGACAGGTGATGGGGTGGGTGGAGGACGCGCCAGCCTTGCCCATCGATCGACTGAGTTGGTTCATTTCCTCGCGGGCGGTGGTCTAGATTGGTTGGGTCATCCTTGCATGTCAGGTGTGGCGAGCATGCTGGATTGCTCACAGGTTGGGGTGGGCGATAGCGGAAATTGTGTTTGTTGATCGACGGTTGGTAGGTGCGCGGCATGAGGTTTGCAAAAGCCTTGCCATTGCCGCGATGAATGTGGGGGAGTGTTGCGCGTCATGCTGGGCTTTTTGTGTTTCGCGCGCCTCGTTACGATTGTTCAGACTGCTTTTGCTGTTACAAAGGCGTTGAGTTCTATTTCCATCGCTGCACGCGACATCTCGAGGACGAGTTGTTTCGAAACATCCCTAATCACAGCTTCCAACCAAAAATGCGGCCTGCATATTAAGGTCATTTTGATAGGAACGGCTCAATATTAGCACGCGGCGCCTTCCACCGTTCTGAGACGCCGGTGGGCGGACCCCTGACGCTAGCCGTGATGGGGCTAGGCTATCACCTCGATCATGAATGCTCCCGTCGACGAGGAAATGTACCTGTCGATCTTGCTGCTCATCCTCGCCCATCGCTGCTTTTGTGTTTGATGAGAGCGCGCGAACTGCGGATAGGGGTCTGCAGACGTCATACCGCAAGCAAGTCAGCAATACGATGCGATTGTACACTTTTCGCTCAGTGAACATGATGTGAGGAAGTTCGTATTCGCTAATCTAGTGACGAGCAGAAATCCGGGGTATCTCGTGTTGCTCTAGAGTCGTTAGTGATGCCGCGTTGCCGGCGACTGCAATACTGACCCCATATTACACACCTCCAACGCCAAACATGCCTTCAGGCCCACCAAGAAAAAAACCAAACAGGCCAACAGCCTACATTGACATGCAGACCTACAGGATAGGTGACTTGGCGTCGATGTAGGCTCTAGACCTGTTCAGTTTTTTCCCTTGTATGAGATGCCCTCTCCGAAATTGATATATGCCAAATCAAGCCTTACTTCACCCTGCCCATGATCGGATCCGGAGGCGCATCCTCTGCTATAGGTTCTGCGGCCTTTGCTTTAACCGCGTTCAACATGCCCCGGTCAAAGTCATCCCTTGTTCTCAAAACAGCTTCCACCCATGTAATACTAACATCCCGATAAGCATTCTTGAACTCCACATACGCAAACTGCACCTGCGACTTGTCGCATTCCAGCAGCTTAAGGAACTGTTGCACAGCGCGCCATCGGTCCTTGATATCGCGACCTTGCTCACCAAACGACATAAACCAGTCGAACGCCGTGTAAAGGTCGTCTTTCATCTTGTCTGCAAACTGATCCGTCCTCTTGAACTTGGCACCCTTGTTGCGCACAGCCCCGAGATATTGAACCAGCAGCTCGTCAGCGAGAGAATCGATGATAAGATCCTGTAGCGAGCGGTGGATCCTAGGGAGAAACTCATCCACGTAGTCTTTAAACGTTGTGATGATCGATGCCATATCCTGCCTCGAGTACCACTCGACGGTGAAGAATTTGGAAAGCACAGGTTTAAGATCGACCATGAAGATGAGCTCGCTAAAGACTTGTATGCAGTGCGATGAAATGTCAATATAGCCGTTCTTGGCCTCGTCCACATTCTTGGCCAGCTTGTCGATCATGTAATCCTGGGAGACGATAGGCGTGACTTCACGCTCAAAGACGCTTAGGAAGGAGGCTTGACCACTGCCGTCAATGTCATCGTCAATGCAGATGATCTGGTCGTTTGCAAGAGCGATGAGCCACTCCTGCAAGACATATATATCATCTTCATCTTGCGCGGGAGTAGGTCCGAGGTATTTGGCCTTTTCTTCGTCGATCAGTTGCGTCCATATACGCTGGCGAGACAATAGGGCACGGAACATGGAGTCGACTACACCATCAGCAACGTCGGGACGCTGACTACTGGCAGCGACACCGATGTTCTGGCTAAAAAGCGTCCAGACGTCTCCAAGAGCCTTCGTTTGGAGGATGCCGTCAAAGTTGGTCTCATATGCAGTTTTGTCTTGCTGCACGAATCTCTGCCGGTCCTGTGTATTGATGCGTTCCATGTATTGATCCACAGCCTGGATGATGACGGAGCGGTAGGTCCGTATCAGCTCGGGACTGCGGTTGTCGATGACATGTGGCTGTAGTTGCTCTTCTGAGTACCCAAGCTTCTGCATCTTGACGTAGTACTTGTCCACCCAATTGATGACAGCCAGCAAGTATTGCGGCCCAAGAGCTTCATCATCGGCAAACTCCATGAGGAAGTCGTGCATCTGCTTGTGGTAGATGTTGGTGTATGTGTCAAAGATCTTCCACTTCTTGGGCATGAGCTCGACCATACCCAGCTTGACTGTGTTCAGGTTGTTGAAGTACCACTTGAAGTACTTTTCGACCTTCTCGGGGTCTTCCTGGAACTGTTCTCTCACTCCGTCCATCTCTGCCTTGCAAACATATTCGATGGAGGTAATGAACTTCTCCTTGTAGCCGCGAAGCTCCTTGGGCCCTTGTGTGATGGACTTGAAGCGAGAGGCGAGATCTCCGAACTCTCTCTGTGCATCTTGCAGCGCTTTGATCTTCTTGTCCGTCTTCTCTTCTTCCTCAATCACGACGGCCAAGCGGACCACCATGCCTACGTTGTCGGTCTGCACCAACTGTATGAGGTTTATGCACGCCTCGCCGATATGCCTGTCAAACCACTCTACGACGTCGTCCAAGCGCGCGAAGAGGTCCTGCACCGTAATACCGCTCTCGAGTGTGAGGTTATCGATGAGTTCGGTGGAAGTGTCGCTGTTCTTGATCTGGCCCATGGCTTCGTCGCGGATGTCTCGTAGTTGCGTCAGACCGTAGTGGACTTGTAGCAGGTTCGGCTGGTTCGCGGGGTCTTCGTCGTCCTGTGCCAGCAGGATCTCGAGGTTCTCCAGGCGCTCCTCAAAGGCCTCGATGTCATTGCGCATCTTCTCCACCGATTCGAAATTCTTGTGTGTTTGCGCAACCAGGTTGATGTGCGGGAAGTCCTGAATCATATTCTGGGCCTCGGCGCATAGCTTGTCTATCTTCATCATCTCCTATGAATCTGTTAGCACGAATAATAAGAGGTCTCAGAACCGCGTTGGCAAAGCATAGCAAGGGAGCTACATACTAGTAATAAGTTAGCAGGATATCTTGAGGACTATCCGTGGCAGCTACTTACCCTCCTTGATCAGGTTGACGGTGCGCTGACCCTCGGTGATGCTGCTCATACCCGACTGGGTCAACTCAAGCTGCTCTTTCAACCCATGGCGTAATTGTCCGTCTACAGCCGCCTTCTTGCGCATGAACTCTGCTTTCAGCGCAGGTATCTTGTCGAGGTCCTCTGGGTGTCGCAGCAGCTCCGCGAGCTTCACCGTGGCGGACTCGACGTCGCCCATGGTTCTAGACGTGCTGAACACCCTAGAGCCTACGTTGACGTTAGGTCACCCACTTTGAAGGTTCTTGTCTTGATGTAGTCTGCAAACCTGTTCAGTTTTTTTCGTGTCTCAGGTGCGCGCCCATGGTAGGGTGCAGATGAAAGTCGCGGACGGGGTAGGCGGGCGGCCTCGACGTTACGGTACGTGTTCGGAGCTTCTGGTGATGTGAATGGACGGGCGGATGCAGGTCCAGGGCTAGCGTGCCGGCCAAAAGTTCCCCGCCACTTCCTCGCAGTCGGCGACAAACTCAATCGCTCTTTCCACGCACACCTACCCAACATGGCCGACGAAGAGCTGAACCTCTACGACGAGATCGAAATCGAAGACTGCTTCTACGACGAGACGCTGCAGATCTACCACCATCCCTGCCCATGCGGCGACCGTTTTGAGATCTCCATCTATGACATGCGCGACGGAGAGGACATTGCGCGCTGTCCCAGTTGTAGTCTGATGATACGAATCATCTTCGACCCGGTATGTCTACCTCTTCGGTCGGCGGGTGCTGAACACTGACATGTCGCAGTCCGATCTCCCACCAGAGAACGACGATGCACCCAAGAGCGTTGCGATTACCGCCTAGGTTCTTCGACTATCATTTCATACCACCTTATGGGGACCCATACCATGTCTCCCAGTATATACGGCGTTAGAATGCATATATCGGCGTTTGGGGGAAGTTGGCTATACAACGTAGTCGCAGTCTGGCAAACACCAGGGGCATACAACATGAGATGTCTTGGGCTGCAGAGTTGAGAATGCGCAATCGTAAATTGTTGTCGCTTTTCGCTATTTGCTACCGTATCATCGTGTATACTCTCCTGGCCAGAAGAGATTATCTGCCCAAACATGCTCTGCGACGGGACGACGTACTAGAGCATGTGCTACTGACTATAGCACGCTCCATCAACGCGGGACCTGATCGTCAACACTGACGTCAACGCCCAGCTCTTTCCTGAGAATCTCAGTGAGCGAGCTGCCGTCCCTCATGTATACCCAGTCGCCGATGCCACCACCCTCCTTGAAGTCCATGCCTTCTTGTGCGACGACCCAGTCGAATCGCTTCGGCCCGGAGATTGGGGAACTGAGCCAGATCTGCTTGTTCGGGGGTTGTTTGTTCAGTACGAATGTGTTCTCTTGGAAAGTGACTTCGAGCACGCCGGCCTGCAACCGAATTAGTATCCAATCTGATCTGCTGCGTAATCGTGACTTACCGAGTAGTCTACTTCGATGGCAGGGTCGTTCTCCTGAGCCTCCTCTAACCTCTGTACCAGCTCGCCCAGGTAGTAGTCTGCGCGCTCGTGGAATTCTTCTATTGAGAGCTCCGTGGGTTTGCCAGGTTCGTCGTGGGCTTCACTCTCCTTGGGCTTCGGGTCCTCCTCACCAGGCATAATACCCACTCTCATGCCCATTGACACGTGGAAGCTGCGAACGGGGGTAGCATGGCTGATGGCAGGAGCTCGGCTGGCGATGATGCAATTAGCGGGCGACTGGACGCGGAGGGAAGATCGGGCGGCGCGACGAACGGCGGTGCTGACGAATCGAGTAGCTGGCTTCATTATGACTGAAGTGGATGGGTTGGAGTAATTGAGAGGATTGTTGGTGGTGGAAGTTGTGGAGTAGCGGGAGCGTGTTCTGTTCCTGGGCTGGACGCAAGCTGGAGGAGCATGGACCCTCGCGCGCCTCCCCGCATCCTTCGGTGGGACATGTCCAACGCCAGTGTGCGCCTCACCACCACCTGTCCACACCATGATCAACGCAGTCCTCGTCTTCAACAATGCCGGCCAGCCGCGACTGACCAAGTTCTACACACAGCTGGTACATTACACGTGACCTGACACTGTGCTCCAGGGCTCTTGTACTCACCACCACCCAGGAAACCAGCGTCCAGCAGCGCCTCATCTCCGAGATCTTCACCCTCGTCGCCAACCGCCCAAACTCAGCATGTAACTTCCTACCGTATGTCTCGTCATGGTCTCACTCCATACTTTTCCTAATGCACGCCTAGCCTCCCGCCGCTCCTCGCCAGCAGCTCCAAGTCCAGCACGCCCACGACTCCCCACAACGACACACCTTCCCTCGTCACCTACCGCCACTACGCGACTCTCTACTTCATCGTCATATCTACATCCACCGAATCGCCTCTCGCGCTTCTTGATCTCATCCAGGTCTTCGTCCAAGCCCTCGATGGTCTTTTCGAAAACGTATGCGAGCTGGATCTGATCTTCAACTTCGAGACATTACACGCGACGCTGGGTGAGATGATAGTGGGCGGAGTCGTGGTAGAGACGCAGTTAGACAAAGTCATTCAAGGCGTCAAGGCACAAGGAAGAGTCGCCAAGAGACCTGTCAATGAAGGCAAGAACATTGGCGGCGGTGGCGGCGTCATGGGCGGACTGACCTTTGGCGGTCTTGGAAGAGGAGATGGCATGTGGGCTGGAAGATGAAGAAGAGGGTACGAGATCAAGATCCGTGAAGCCAGAAGCGTTGCGCTCGAAGCGTTGGGCGCGCCGAACAGCCCAACCGCTTACACAGCCTCGATGGTTCAAGAGCAACGACCCAGCGGCGACACCAGAGCTCACCAAGCGCACCGGCCTCCTCAACGTCTAGATCTGGACCCGGCGCATCAGCATGGCACCCACAGTCACTATCGTGTCAGACTCCTCGGCACTACTCAAACCCCCTCATCCTGTCCGCACAGGCTCGGCGGACTCGCAAACAATTCTTCCATGTCGCATGCGACCTCTATACATATAGCGCGCCTGCTTACCTGTCCTGTGGGGTTACTGTTGTGAATTTCCCCGGACCGGGTAAACACATGGTAAAGGTCAAGGGTCGGTATATGTTCGAAACGTCGCGCCTGGAACCAATGCCGAGCTAGGATTAATGGAAACAAGCTTTTAATTTACCGCTCACTAGTTCGTTCCAAGTCCCACTAGAGGGCGAATGACAACTGTCAGCCCTTCATCTACGTCGTGGCGCCGAAGATGTGGGGAGAAACACTTTAGTCGAGAACTGCGTGACCTCATTTCCGCTACTGCTGATTGCTGGATAGTTTCGGGGAGATCGTTTCAATGCAGACCGCATCCCTTGAACCGCACGCACGCTCCGGCTGAAGACAAGCTTTATAAGAAGGTCTGTATCCCAAGACTCTTGGATTCCCCACCGTGTTCATTCATTCCAAGTCAACACCATGCGCTTCCTCACTGCTGTCACCAGCTTCCTGTCCGTAGCTGCGGCTGCAACCACCGACATCGCCAAGCGTGCCGTGACACCTGGCGCTCTCTCCCAGGTCACCTCCTTTGGTGCTGCGCCCACCAAGGCTGGCTTCTACATCTACGTGCCCAAGAAGCTTGCGGCGTCGCCAGGAGTTATTGTCGCTATCCACTACTGCACTGGTACCGCACAGGCATACTACACCGGTAGCCCTTACGCCAAGTTGTCTGAGCAGTATGGCTTCATTGTCATCTACCCAGAGTCCCCTCACGAGGGCAAGTGCTGGGATGTCAGCAGCAAGGCCACTTTGAGCCACGAGGGAGGAGGAGACAGCAACACCATTGCCAACATGGTCAAGTGGACAGTCAAGGAATACAAGGCCGACTCGTCCAAGGTCTTCGTTACCGGTTCCAGCAGTGGCGCCATGATGACCGTACGTCTGATGGAGTCCTGATCACGTTATAATTGCTAACCCCTTTCAGAACGTCATGGCCGCTACCTACCCCGACATCTTCAAGGCCGCCATTCCTTACTCCGGTGTCGCCGCCGGTTGCTTCGCCTCCGCCGCCAACGGAGTCGATGCCTGGAACAGCACCTGCGCCCAGGGTAACTCCATCGCCACTCCTCAAGCCTGGGCCACCGTAGTCAAGAACATGTACCCCAGCTACACTGGTGCCCGCCCCAAGATGCAGGTCTACCACGGTAGCGCCGACACCACTCTGCGCCCTCAGAACTACCAGGAGACCATGAAGGAATGGGTGAGTACCAGAATCTGATATCCTCGAGCGATCACGTGCTAACGGTGTATAGGCTGGCGTTTTCGGCTACAACTACGACAAGCCCCAGAGCACCAAGGCCAACGACCCCCAGAGCGGATACACAAGGACCGTCTACGGTCCCAATGTCGAGGGTATCTACGCTGCTGGTGTCGGCCATACCGTCCCCATTCGGGGTGCGGACGACATGAAGTTCTTCGGCTTTGCTTAGACGCATCGAAGATGAAGCGCTACCATACACTACAGCCAAGCCTCATGGCAGTCACCAACAATTCAATGTACATATTCGTGACTACACACATCACACTGCATTCTCATCGTGTTTACTTTTACATCTTTTCATTGCTGACCTACCATGTTCTACGCTTTTTCTTCTTTTCAGGCGGCACTTGGGTGGGTTCAACGCTTCGGCTCCTGCGATGACGAAACCAGAAGCTCCTTCGCTTCGGGGACTTGTCATCGGTGTCGTCAAGATCGTCCCAGCTGAACTTACTTTGAAGCTGTGGTGTCGGCTCACATACAGTCTTTTCCTCGAATCCGCTGTCACGTCGCTCAACAGGCGGTAGCGAAGGCTTGTATGGCGGCAGGGGTTTAGTATCAGTATACCTACCTGGATGCTTATGTCGCGATGCGTGGATGTCAGAAGGATGCTGATCTTCATCATACATCGTTTCGAACTTCCGCATCTCCTCATTGAACTCGGCGATATACCGAGCCGGAATGGGCTCTTCATCCGAGTCTTCGTCTTCGTCCGGCCTAGTCCAAGACCGCTGTGGGTCATCAAGCGCCCGCATCCTATCAAATCCCTCATCAGTGAAATCAAAACCCGCCCCTAAAGCCGCACGCGTGGCGAACTTCGCGGCAGATATCTCTGCCCGGCGCTCACGGCTCAAGTTACCTTGCTTTTGGTACGGCGTCTTTGGTATCATGTTTCGGGTCGAGGAGAGAGAGGGTTGTGCGAAATGCGCTTCTAGGCGAGAGCGATGCTGTTGCTTGACTAGGTAGCGGTATTCGTCGTTTGGGAGGTAGTCTGGGGGGATGGAGGGCCGGTAGTGGAGTGCGGGGTGGTATGTTGGGGAGGATGTGGATGAGGGGTAGTATGCCGGTGGGCTGAACGTGTAGGATAGTGTGGACGCCATTTCTAGGTAATCCTTTTCTAGTTGGGAAGTTGGTTGTGGTGAAGTAAGGGTTTGGTTCTTTTGTTAGTTTTGTCTGGGATGTGTGGTTCAAATTGAGAGACATGGCTATGGACGGAAATGGGACGTGTTATGTGTGTATATTGCTGGTGTGGCATGACTCGAGTCTCGTTGAGAAAGTACTATGTGGGGTTTGGGTGAATGTTCGGGGAGGGTGGTGGAAGATGGAATGATACTGTACACACTCACGGGAGTATTCTCTGGGTTGGATTTTTTGTTCGATAATCGAAAGCTGCATCCAAGTCAATGGGTCACGAACATCGTCGAGTTCCCAGTTTGCTTCTATCGAAGTCTTACGAGTTACGTCTCTGTCGACGACCAGCATCTGTGAATGAATCAGCCCCATTGTGGTATCCCCGGCTTTCGATGTTTCGGTATCTGTAGAGATGATAATCTGTGTCGTTTCTCATGATTTGGTAGTTATTCGAGTTTGTACGCAACGCGTATGAGGCTAGCGAAGCACAAGGAAGTCATGGAGCTTGAGAGCAATGACGTCATCGCCCTTTCCCAACCTCCCGAGGTCAGCAACCAAAGCGGCGCCAAATCTCAGCTTCCAGGTTATTTCCTGCGCTTCATACTGTGACTTCGAATTTCTCAGCACGAAACACACGCAAAGATGACTGCCCGCGTCCTTGAAGGTTCTCGCATCTTGTTATGGGAATGAAATATTCCACGGTGGCGATGAGGGCTAAATTTCGGCTGTATCGGCGATCTGTTGCTTGACAACATCACCTGTGACAAGGTGCGCAATGCTTGTTCAAGCATCATTACTTATCGAGCGGTTTCTACTGCACTAAAAGATTTCGATCAAAGCACAACTAGATTGAGCATGGCATCCTCAGCAATCAATGGAGATCGAGCGCTAGATCTCACAGAGGCCGTTGTCACACTCCAGCAAACGACAAGGAAATTTATCGCAGACACCAGAGCAGGGCGTGAGGGGTTTGTTTTAAGACCCTTCTCTTCCGCCGATGATGAGAACGGCACGGGAAATATGCTTATCATAACCTCGCCTGACAAAGAGATCAAGACTCACCTGGAAGCTCTGGAAATGCAACTACGGGTGTTGGAACAACGATTACGATCGCGAGGAGATTGGCATCCATCAGATCAATTACTCAACATATCACTACCAACTATTCTCGACATTATCGACCTCTCAAACGCGATCACGCTGCTCGACCAATTGATCACCTCTACAAGCCCCGGTGAACAGACTACCCC